CCGTAGCTGGAGGAGTCATTGTTGCTGTTGCCGTAGCTATCGTTGTTGGAGCTAGAGTTGTTGCCGTAGCTGGAAGAGTCATTGCCACCGTAGCTGGAGTCATTGTTGTTGCTGCCGTAGCTGTCCTGGTTGCGACCAGAGCTGGACTTGTTTCCGCCGTAGCTGGAAGAGTCATTGTTGTTGCCACCGTAGCTGGAGGAGTCATTGTTGTTTCCGCCGTAGCTGGAGGAATCATTGTTGTTGCCACCGTAGCCGGAGCTCTGGTTGCCACTGCCGTAGCTGTCGTTGTCGTTGTTGCGGTAAGACATTTTGGTGGATTGTTTGGGGGGATTTAGGTTGGAATTGGAAAGAGAAGATGAATAGATCTCAGAAGGAAGAGGATCGAGTGATAATTTATAGGGGCACAATGTTTATCCCAACCCAACAGAAGCTGAGCGCTTTATTTATCTCCCACCAGGAACAGGCCAGAATGGAATAGAAGAGAATTGCCCCTCTCCTCTCGATAAACCCCTCAATGACAACATGCGGACAAGCGCGACGAGCAGGGGCCAATGATCGTGGCACGAAGTAGCTAGCATCTCTAGAGCTCACTAGTTCCGTGCTTGTTTGCGAGTGATTGCTCGAACCTTGGGAGCCACATTTCAGCTGGTATCGCCTAATCGGGAACTGACCCATAGTCGACCCATATTTGACTCTGATGTTGCGATATCATCCAATCTACGAACGGAGCATCACGCCATGGTGAAAGCCATGCGGGACTCTGATTTGCCGGTCAAATTGTGTAGTTCTTTTTCTCGCAGCCGGAGTTAGCCGGAGTCCTGAGAGAAGATAGAGTTCATTACCCCTCATTATTTGGCTGGATAATTGTGTACTTTTGTGCAGCCAAAGTCTAGACTCTTCAGTGTGAAAGCAGTTGAGAATAGGTGGGATGTTTCTCCTCCATACAACATGAAGACACGTGCAAATCAGCCGTGGAGGGCCCTTATTTCCCTTTTTTTTGGGAAAGACGATAATAAAGTGAGATGAGCCAATCATAATCGAAGATCTGGCCTTTTAGGGACCCACTTAGATCTACCTCGATCCACGCTATTGATTTCTATGCTGACGGGATACATTTATCTCCGATGTCCGCCCGTATCTTTGGTTTGGTTTTGACAGTCCATGGTACTGAAGAAGATCCCTTCTTACATAGTCAGGAAACTGGGGGGGTGTGCGTGCCTACCTCGGGAGGTGGCAAAAACCTTCCCAAGGTACTCTGTACCTCTACCCCTCCTAGACACCTTCCAAGAATGTTAGATAGCCTCGGACGCATTGACCTTCACTACGTGATCCTCGGTCCTACACACCTAGGTATGATTTTATGGGTTCAGTAGTTACCTATACTATGTAACTACATGCAAATCGTACCAAGCGAGGTATACTTTGTGGACAAGTTTGATTATGTGGACATGTCCAACCTATCTGCGCAGATTCTGTCCGGGTATTCATTCACTCATTCCCCCTAAATATGATTATTGCTTGCATCCATTGATACGTTTAGTTGGAGATCTTCTCGCTGACGTGCTTGCTGTATTGAGAATCAAATGTTAGCAAATATCCAAGTCCAAGTAATTTAGAGCTGCACTTACCCAGTGACCTTCTCGTAGGCCTCGCGGGCACCATCGGTGATCTTCTCTTGCGCGCTGCGGTCGAGGTTGTAACCAGACTTCTTGACACCGGCGGCGAAAGCTGAGGAAAAGGCTTGTCAGACAAAAATCCGCGTTGCGCAAAGAACAGTAAACCACTCACCCTTGTCAACGTAGTCGTCGTTCTGCTGGGTGTTGTTATCGACAGGCTTGTCCTCCTTGTTGCCACTGGCGCTGGAAACAGCCTTCTTGATGAAATCCATTATGATGAGTGTATGAGTTATTTTTAAATTTATAAAAATATCGTGAGTAGAGAGGGGAAGGAAGAAGAAGAAGAGCTGAGTCGGGGAGTTCGTCCAAGTAGGCAAAAGCTGCCCCTCTTTTGAGTGGCGACTCGCCGCGGCACTAGTGTATTGCCGTCTGCTTGGCTGAGCTTGAGGATAAGGAACCCTAATATATGCTGTGGTTTCCACATGATTCATGGCAAAAGGAATAATCGGGACTTGTTTTTCGAATACAACTTGTTATAATACAGCTTTGAAAGAAATTTTCAAACAAAAACTCCAGAAAAATGCCATCCAAACCATACAAATCTTACACACCGAAACAGGCCTTATTGGCAGACCGGACAGCTTCCTTCTCACCCTCGCTCATGGTATCGGTGATCTCCCAGGGAGTATTACCTAAACCCATAGCGCGCTGACCCTCCGAGCTCAGCGCCGACCAATCCATAGCACCCTTGAATCCCGACTCACCGAGTCCACCAGCACCGGGGAAATCCCACGGAGGCGAATAGCTCTGCGCAGCCTGGCGCTGCTTGAGAAGGTACTCAACATTCATATCGCACAGCGGGGTGGCGGGAATGTACATGACACTGGAGTCCTGGGTACCACGGTGCTCCTTGTCTACGGAGTGCAGAGAATCGCAGTGCCATGCGACAAAATCACCAGGCGCAACCTGCGGTACTGAAACCATAGTAGACTCGAGATTAAGATGCGGGTGCGTGACCGGGTTGTACTCCTGGCAAGCACCAGGTACGGAGCCCGGGAATTTAGCATCCAGGGCCGGCTTTGAGCTCTCGATGTCGAAGAAGGGACGCAGTATAGTGTACGCTGTGCTGTGGTTGATCATGGGGCATACGTGCAACGAGCCCTCACCGGGTTTGGTGTCTGACATAGATAGCCAGGCCTGGAAGAACCGCAGCATGGAGCATGCACCGGCACCATTGTATAGGTCCATGTTGGCCTTAAGACGGTGTCGCGCATCCCATGCGTCGTACTTTTCCCAGTTCCCTTCTAGGATCTTGGTGTAGACTCGAGAGTATTCGGGGTCTTCCCATCGCTCGAGGGAACCGCCGTCAATGTGCGGACCAAGGGTAAACTTTGAGTCGCCTGGATCGCGAATGCGTAGACGGTCTGCGTAGGTGAGAGGGTGGGTGGTTGAGATCTTGCTGTTAGGGTCGGACGAATGCCACAGCTGCTGCATGAAGCGCTGGGTGTTGAGCATGCTTGCGTGAGCGCGAGCTTCGGCCTGCGACGGTGTCCAGTACAGCTCGTAGACAGCTGGGGAGTCAGCTGGGAAGGCCTTAACCCGCTCCTTGTTGGCAGCCACGTAGTCGCGGATCCGCTGCTTATACTCTAGGGCTTGGTCCCGGGGGATCACATTGCGGATGACCACGCTGCCTCGGTGGCGGATCTCTTTTAATGCGGCTTCAGACACATTTCCAGAGATCACATCAGAGTACTCAATTGAGGGGATGATCTAGTAATTTAAAGTCAATCTTCTGCTCGGTAATAAAGGTAACATATGCACATACATCGCTGCCCTTTGCCTTGATCTTTTGCACTTCTTCATCCAAGCTAGGAAGCAATCGCTCCCAACTTTTTGTGATTGCATCTTTGTTCTTCTCAAAAAAATTTGCCTTCAGCTCCTGAAACCGTGCAGGGAGAGGCTCCGGCTTATAGTCAGGCCTCAAGCTGGGGAAAACCGATGAGATATCACCAGCGGCCTTGGTGGTCTGGGCCGAGGTGGAGGCTGCTCGGATAGCAGATTTTGAAATAAACTTTGACATCGACATGACTGAAAGTAGTTCGCAGGTGTGTATTCTAACTTTGCGGGGATCTTCACCGGTGCTTTATATGTGTTTCGTGGGGAACACAGCATACCTTAGTCGAAGCGGTATTGTCCCATAAACAGTAGTCAAGCCGCTGTCGGAAAGAATGGTGTGCCAAGAAATTACTAGATTAGGGGATCTACCCGACCGTTGCTGCTCCCCGTGACATCAGTCCGCAAATAATCATTCCTGGGGCTAAAGATGGCAAGAGTGGAGATAAGTTTTCTCGAAGATTTAGCCGTTTGAGAAGATCGTTGGGGAGGGAATACGGCAAGCCGGCATTCGTCGAGGAGGCTTTCGGATAGAAGATCTGCATTGTGACGAAGCCTAAGTACTATACGAATGAAACACTACCTGCCATACCATGAGTCCAACTTAAGTGAAGCTGCGCTGTCGTACTGAAAGGATGTGATCAGTCGAATGCTATATATATATATATGCGCTGTTGTTTGGCTGCTTTGATAGAGCAGGTCTACTGACGGCCTAGATATCTCGTAGATCGTCCTATGCTTGCCAAGTACTCCCACGAACAATTGTTTGAAGGCAACCCACCTGGTTTTCACAGATTTTCTCAGAAACTAATGGCAGGCGTACTAGGCCCCATTGTAATGTGCTCGCTGATCCGGAACTACGGCGCATAGCACAGATTTACATCGAACAAGGTGCATAAGTACCTCCATACATAGAGCAAGATAATGCAAACTAGAGGGGAAATGCTGTGACACGCCGAGCTACCCAAGAAAAACGGGGAAATAGACTAATATTGGGCCCATACACATATGTAGGGATGCACAAGAATCTCGGCCATCACGCCGGCCTCGGTCCACCTTCCTCTCCCCCGACGGTTATATGCCCTTCTACCCCGCGAGGCCTAAAAATGGTTACGGAATGCGCTGCAAAAGACCCCGAGCAGGTTCCACGAGGTCCTTTTCGTATATAAAAGAGGGCAGAATCCCCTGCTGGAAGATATAATCCATTGATCGTTAACACTCTAAACATGGCTTTCTTGGTGCAAGGAAGATCTGCCATTATAACTGGAGCTGGCTCCGGTACGTAACCTGTGTACTGCAGTATCCGACGACCAGCTTACATTGTAGCCAGGTATCAACTTCAGTTTCGCCAAATTGCTAGTGGAGAACGGCTGCAATGTCCTAATCGCAGACCTAGCCTTGCGTCCCGAGGCGCAAGCGCTAGCTGATAAGCACAAGGCCGGGCCCGCACGAGTGGTCTTCCAAGAGACTAATGTGATTGACTGGGTTCAGCTCGAGCGGATGTTCGAGGTTGCGGAGAAGGAGTTCGGCGAGATTGATATTGTTTGCCCGGGCGCGGGAGTCTACGAGCCGGTAAGACAACAATCAACCCCAACCAATACACAAGTCTAACTATAACTGCAATGAATATAGCATTGGAGTAACTTCTGGCGCCCGCCTCACTCAACTCAAAGCAAGGACCCGGCTTCTGGTGGCCGATACGCTTTGATCGATATCAACGTCACCCACCCGATCCGCACTACGCAGCTGGCGATTGCTCATTTCCTGAACAATCGTACCAGCGGACGCCCAAAGCATATCGTTCATATCTCCAGCATTGCAGGACAGAATGCGAATCTCGCAGCTCCAATTTACTGCGCCACGAAACACGCCATTAGCGGCCTGGTGCGGTCGCTCGCCAAGCTCGACAAGAAGCTTGGGATCCGAGTCACGGCCGTAGCTCCGGGTGTTATCAAGACTCCGCTCTGGACTGATCATCCGGAGAAGATGAAGATGGTTGTTGATAGTACTGATGCGTGGGTGACACCTGAAGAAGTGGCGGAGGTGATGTTGGCGCTTGTGCAGCAAGAACAGGTGGGCGAGATTATTGGGGACCGGTCGGGTCGTGGGCAGCAGTTCAAGGTGGAGGGAGGTACAATTCTAGAGGTTTCAAAGACGGTGCGAGCTGTCGGTCAATTCAATGACCCAGGCCCTGGTGATTGGCCTGGAAACACGGCGTCGGATCATCATGTGGTTGAGGAAGAGAGTTATCAACTTCTGTCGCAGAAAGGATGGGGATTGTCCAAGCTATGATTAGTTATCACTTTGTCTGTATGATTGAGTATACAACCCCGACAATATTTGAATTGACTCAATTGGCCCAATTGGCTTTAAAATGGGGTGATGTAGTGATTTGTATGTTGTAGGGATGCAAAGTGGTTTGGTTTTAGGTAACAACCCGAGGAACGGCCGGTCATGTGTCATCCCGATAAGACTTGGGAGGCTTGGAGACTTTCAACTGGCCACAGATCTTTCCCTCCTTCATTCAACCCCTGCCTTTTCCATTTTCCAGGGTTTTTCTTTTTGACTAAACTACTCTATCTTCCCCTTTTGGTCATTTGATCTCGGCCCCGCTGGTAGCGGCCGTTAATTATGTTTTGCGCGCCTATCTTTGACCGATAACACCATTTCCGCAACAGATAACAAATATCAAGATGGAGGAGGCCGCGCTCGGGGTTGGCCCATCTGGGGGACACCAGAATGCGATGCGGAGGTAGGCTGGAACACAAAGACTTGATGTTGACGGAGACTAATTTGGATTCCATTAGGCGTGGAGCCCGCGGAAGACCTGGGGATATCGTGGGTGAGGCCAGTTGGGCCAGCAGTGTGATCAACCTGGTCAATACTAGTAAGTGCAAGGAAGCGCACAAGGCATAGGATGCTCCGAATTCTAATACAATTTCCCACTGCAGTAATCGGTGCAGGTGTGCTTGCGATGCCCCTAGCCATCTCTCGTATGGGAATCGTCCTTGGTGTCTTCGTGATTCTGTGGTCTGCAGCCACTGCGGGATTCGGCCTATACCTGCAATCACTATGCGCGCAATATCTGGACCGTGGAAGCGCCTCATTCTTTGCGCTGTCGCAATTGACATATCCTAATGCGGCTGTGGTCTTTGACTGTGCGATTGCGATCAAATGTTTCGGTGTCGGCGTGAGCTATCTCATCATCATTGGAGATCTCATGCCGGGAGTGGTACAGGGCTTTGTCGGCAGCGAGCCCGGATACGATTTCCTGGTGGACCGCCATTTTTGGGTTACAGCTTTTATGTGTGTCGCCTTGCATCGCGCTGAATTGAGGGGAAGTGCTGACCATTTGACTTTAGGTTGATCGTGATTCCTATTTCCTACCTGCGCCGTTTAGACTCTTTGAAATATACCAGTATTGCGGCCTTGGTTTCCATGGCCTATTTGGTTGTCTTGGTTGTGTATAAGTTTGTCCAAGGAGACACAATGGAGAATCGAGGCCCGATTCGCGTGGGCCACTGGGCGGGCGCAGTTCCAACTCTCAGCAGTCTACCAGTTATTGTCTTTGCATTTACTTGTCATCAAAACGTACGTTTCCAAGTTGTGGCCCGTGGGTTCTTTTCTAACAAGCGTTTCAGATGTTCTCCATCCTCAACGAAATCGCCAATAACAGCCATTTCCGCACAACTGCCGTTGTTTTTGCGAGCGGCGGTAGCGCAGCTGCAACCTACATCCTCGTTGCCATCACGGGATACCTCTCTTTTGGCAACAGTGTAGGCGGCAATATCGTCGGCATGTACCCACCCGGTGTGTACGCAACGATCGGCCGTGCCGCAATCGTCATGCTAGTAGTGTTCTCTTATCCACTACAATGCCACCCATGTCGAGCCTCGGTCGATGCTGTCCTAAAATGGCGCCCCAGACCACAAGTCAGTCGCACAGAGAGCTCTCCAAACCGACACCCATTGCTAGGCCCGCGCGGAAACCGCACGCCAGAGCCAATGAGCGATCTCCGCTTCTCCATTATCACAACAACCATCTTGATTCTAAGCTACCTAGTTGCCATGACCGTTTCCTCCCTTGAATCCGTGCTGGCATACGTCGGGAGCACTGGTAGCACGAGCATCAGCTTCATCCTCCCGGGCTTGTTTTACTATAAGATTTCCTCGCCCGACTCGCCTACCCACCGAGGCCTAATGAAAGAGGACGACGAGGCGGAGGATGATCTCTCAGGAGATGACGAGGGCGATGACGGCGAGGGTTCGCTCGCTCGCTCATTGACCGAGAGTGGTCTTTTGCTCCGTGGAACCCGCCACTGGCGCAAGGCACTGCTTCGCCGACTCAGCTTGGCATTGGCACTCTACGGCCTCCTTGTTATGATTGTGTGTCTGGTTACGAACACGTTCTTCAAAACCTCGCATTAATATGCCCCTTCCTTTCTGCATGAAGATTCTTTCCACCCTTCTTGTTAGCCTGGGCCTGGTCTTGTCATGATCTTTGGCCCTGCCATATACTGTCCGAGGAGCCTTGTCTTTAGATTTTCTCGTCTGTTTACTTCTCTTTGCATATTATTTTCCCTTTGCGCGTTGCTCTAGATGTTCGCTGTGCCTTTTCTACACTATTGGGTATTGCTTTTTGCATAGTTTAAATTTCATTTGATTGGGTTGTCCATGTTGGGCGTTTGGAGAATTGTAACTATTTAACTTGATGCTTAATTTTATATTGGCTGACTGCTAATGATTATGCGGGCATGCTATGGCTAGTTGCTTTGCTTGGGTAAGAAAACAAGAGGGACGATAGGATTCAAATACAGCGAACAGACTTGTAGAAACTCAAGTTATGAATGAAGAGAAGTGTACAATAGAAAACGATTCAAGCAAAGCCCGATGTAAAGCAGGAAGAATCATCTGAACCCAGTTCCGACAAGCACCAAAATACAAGCTTATTTGTCGGGCAATCTCCCTCTTGACTAGAACCTGCTAAAGCAGACACCCCTTCTCAACTCTCAGACATTTCAATGCGCGATCGCAATTAATTATTGTTGTTAGCACCGTTCAGAATCCGGAGAATGGACATGAACAAGTTAAGCACATCGAGATAAAGCGAGATCGAAGCAGCGATCTCCTCCTCAACATGATAGTGCCGCATAACCAGCTGCGTATCAACGAGAATATAACCCGAGAAGATAAGCGCGCCAAGCACACCATAGATGATCTCAAGGGTGCTATTGAACGGGATGAACATAGCCACGAACCCGAACAAGATCATGAACCACAACGCGCCGAACAGGTAAGGCATCCAGTCGGTGAAGTCGTACTTAGTCTGGCAAGCGAAGAGCGTCAAGGCGACGAAGATTCCGAGCGTGAGTGCGAGCGCTTGCACAACTACCTTCGCGTCGTAGAAAGATGTCGCCACGCTGATTGAGTACGCTTCGAGGATGGTGAAGCCTGATAGGAAGAGAAGGTTTGCTGGGTAGGACTTTCGCTTCCAGAATGTTGCGAGCATGAAGCCCAGTGCGCCGAAGACGGAGATTATCATCAGCCAGAAGTTAGACTGGATCCAGGTGCGATAGGAGGCGTTGAAGAAGGAGATCGAGCTAAGGATCGTTGTGAGGAGAAGTTGGGCCGTTCTGGGTGATGAGTGTTAGTAGGGAGTTTTAAAAACCCATGCGCTTGGGTCTGTGTTTGTAGATCATGTTGGACTTACAGGATAGAGTACACTTTGCGAACGAATTGCATACGAATATCAATCGTTCCTTCGGCTACGGTTCCTCCGAACTATGCGATTTTGTCAGTTTCCATCTCACTAGCTGGGTGTATGTCCTCCAAATGAGGTTGTGCGTGCATACCTTGAAATCATCTGGGAGATTGTCATCCTCGTTGCGAGGCGCTGGCTCCGCTGTAGCCTGGTAGGAGGGAGGGGCTTGGGAGTAAGAAGGGTCATCTAGGGAGTCCCGCTGAGGAGCAGGCTCGTATCTGGTGTTTGCAGCCATAGTGGTAGATTGAGATACGTTTAGTCTCTCAACGCTGGTGTAGAATGTGTTGGATGATCAGCGACAAAGAGAGAGATGAGTGAAGCCTAGAGGTGGAGCCCATATGATGTGACGGGTCACGTGTGATAAGCCAAAATATGGGGCCGGGTGCTGCTTATGTATACAATTTGTGGGGCAGCCCTGGAGGTATACAGGATGCGTCACAGATAACTATGTGCGCTACTATATATATTGGTCCTGGGCATGTCAGAGCTCTTGCTCTGACATATTGGTCTTTTGACCAAGCGGAACAGAGTGCATCCAGGCATAATACTTACAGGTAGGTTGAAAGGTTATAGATCAAACTGGCTCGTTTCTCCCGGGTACTAAAAGGGAAACAAGATCAAGTATCAACTAGCCATAAAAAGAGAAAAGAAAAAGTAGCCATTCAATTTGCATATAACCAACACTCATCCACGGTATACTCGCTCTCACAGTCAACTTTGACACACAAGAACAAGAATGTTATGACTAACGACATGTTGAGGAAAACCCTATCACGCAACGTTGACAGTCTTTGTATCCAGTCACTTGGTCCTCCAACTAATCTCACGAATATATTCGCTGGGAATATAACCAACGAAGAGATACTTCCCTCTAGCGGACCCCTTAGCGTTAGACGTTTCGGAGCTCGTACTAGAAATTGCCAGCCACCTTGCAACTCCCTTGAAATAGACAGGTTCCTTTTGTTGATTCTTATCAAATGGAATCGCTACCTCGAACAGACGAATACCGGTGTTTCCCTTCTTTAACTTGCGTCTTGCCGCCATGCAAGCCCGTCTGATGTCACGTCGGGACAGGATGAAAGGTGATTTCCTCAAGATTTGCTTTCTTACTTGTCTCTTTTCGTCCTTCGTTTTTGGGCTCATCACAACAAATTCTTTTAATTTTGGGTGTATACCATTGCTTTGCAAGTTATATCGTGATTGATCAGAGAACACCACATACGAACGAAATTTATTATCACGATCCTTCGGCATTCTGGCGTATAGGATGGTATCAGGAATGAAATGTCCCAAGGATGTTTGACTGACTGGAGGAGATAATATGGAATATTAAGAAAAGGGAATGAAGAAGAATTAGGAAGGGGGCATAAGGACTATTTATAGTGCCTAGGTACAGCTGACGGAACCATTAATCTTTTGTCAATGCCAGAACCTTCGAAGACCTAAAATCGCGTCAGCTTGCCAAGAGGAATACGTGGTTATGAGGCTACTAGCTGAATATACAAGTCACCGGTTCTAGTCAGATCGTTGTTTCATTCGAGGAGTCTGAACGCATGATTGTAAGTGCATCTATACTGGTCTGTGCGGCCAATCAACTTCGGCCACCGCATGAAGCATAGATACCCAATTTAGTCGAGGACCGGCTGCTAGACAAAGCCACATGGATGATTTGATCGATGAGTTTGGATTGATAGCTGTTCGCTTTGCTATGCTTCCACTTTTAGACGGCCCCCATCGTCCGAACGACGTGGCATCAGCACTATGGCTATTCATCCTGGTAAACTGGCTGCAAATAATTGCGCTAATCAACATTGCCATTATATGATGGATGCTCCTAGGAATACTTTGCTAATCAGACTCATTGAAGATACGAGGGCAAGTGCAAGGGGGAAAGATTTCCTGATATATATATATAGACTAGTGCATTTGAGGTGGGGCTTAGGAAACAAAGAGAGCGAGACTGCAGGTCTGATTTCAAATATCACTTTAACGCTCAACGTACTTCCTAAGAAAGGTTATCAGATAATGTTTTAGAGTCATATCTTGACGTGCCGGACTGAAATACATGTGGTATTAAATTGTGGTATAACACAAGCTGAAACCGAGAGGCAATGTTGGCTAACACTACATTCGTACCCAGGTACTACTATGACTTCATCAATCCAGCAGCCTCCTCAGCTGGCAAGACGTTGAGTTTGCTGAATGCGCTATCAGCAGCTACATGGCCACAACTAGCGGTGAACGATACTTGGCAGCTAATTGAGCCATACGCGCCTCTCCGTTCGTTCTTGGTCGTCGTCATCCCCACGTAGTTCCCATGTAGCATAAAAATTCACGGAGAATGCTTCGTATACAAATACTCGCTGACACCCGCCTGAATTGTACGAATCGCGTTGTTCCCGCTCGAGTCAATCCGCCATGGAACCCCGATTCTTTGGGCAAAGTGAGAGTGGGGATTGGATGCTGGGAGAACCTTCGGATATTTTTTTCGACCTCGCGACTTCTACAACGGATAATAATTCGGCGCCTGAAATGGAACCGGAGATAACACTCCCTTTCAACCCCGAAGACGACAGTATCTTCCCGTCACCTGGACCTCACGCAAACCCAATGGAATTTGCCAGCTTCGACGAGCATGTCCCTTCATACACAACGGACCTTGAACCTGTTTCAGATCTTGGTTGGCTCGACCACGACCAGTCTCTATAGAGTGCTGGGTCGAGCTCAATCCAGATTGATGTAGGTGAAATGTGCGACTATCCGATGGCCGCTTCAGAGGTTCTGAGCTCATTGGTTATAAACACCAATCAAGACTCGGGATCTTCCAAAAGCGTTTCAAAATCGGAATGGCGATTTGAAGAAGCAGAAATGCCTTCAATCAGTATGACGGATGTTGCTTCGGACGGGCTGTATTACTGCCAGCGGGAGATGTGTCGCGATCGGGGGGGTTTCCAGCAGCAGGGACTTTTTCGGTGAGGCTTCCATACTGGAATAAAAGATTGTTTCTAAGTTATTTCAGAAAACATGTACGATGGCATGAGAAACCAGTCAAATGTCCTAAGTGCGATTACGCTACTGCACAACAAGGGGATATGCGCCGACATGTCGAGAGTATTCATACCACGTGGGCTAAGCAACGCTGGAATGTGGAAGAAGAGTTCTGTTGTCAGATGTGCAATGCTTCGTTTAGACGCAAGGATCATCTCCAACGACACTGCGGAAAGAAGCATGCAGTTGATTTGAGAATATAGAAAATATCATTGTGATTATCCTCTGGTCGAGTTTTCAATCGAATTAGATAGATGTACGGAGTACATACTAGCGATTTATTAGAAAAAGCAAAAAAGAAGGTGGGACAATAATAATGTAATCGACCTCCGTAGAGTCTGTACATAAGATATAGCATCACAAATTGATACCCATGGGAGACATTGTAATTGAATTGACAGACTAAACATGAATGGACAGATTAAACATGAATGGACAGATTAAACATGAATGGACAGATTAAACATGAATGGACAGATTAAACATGAATGGACAGATTAAACATGAATGGACAGATTAAACATGAATGGACAGATTAAACATGAATGGACAGATTAAACATGAATGGACAGATTAAACATGAATGGACAGATTAAACATGAATGGACAGATTAAACATGAATGGACAGATTAAACATGAATGGACAGATTAAACATGAATGGACAGATTAAACATGAATGGACAGATTAAACATGAATGGACAGATTAAACATGAATGGACAGATTAAACATGAATGGACAGATTAAACATGAATGGACAGATTAAACATGAATGGACAGATTAAACATGAATGGACAGATTAAACATGAATGGACAGATTAAACATGAATGGACAGATTAAACATGAATGGACAGATTAAACATGAATGGACAGATTAAACATGAATGGACAGATTAAACATGAATGGACAGATTAAACATGAATGGACAGATTAAACATGAATGGACACGCCGCCATCCTCCGAATCAATTTCCTGGTCTAGCCCACCTCGCTCTCCGGTCTCTGGACTTTCCAAAGGATCTGCAACAGATTCGCTGTATGCATTTTCGCAAATGTCTTGCTCGTCAAGCGAATTGAAGCTACTTACAGAGGGCATCTCCGTGATGCAAGTCATAGAGTCTGGATGCCAGCGGCTTGCTTGCGAGCGCCGCAATACTTGGTCAATGATCTGATCACGGAGCTCTTGCGTAATCTTGCTCATAATCTGGATTTGCTCTCGAGTTGCCATGTCATTCTTGATAAACGCCTTCAGGGCTGGAGGACTCCATCTTGTCCAGACTTTCCGATGTGATGAAGGCAGCACCATGCGCGCTGGATGATGCTTGAAGTATAGCTCACAGCAAAGACAAGCGGGCTTGCTGCATGCAATAAATTGATCGCCGTCAGCAAAGGTGAGATTTTTCTGGTAAAAATGCTCTAATACTTGAACTTCTGCATGAACTTGAGGACCAGGTTGTTCGTATTGTTTCATAAAATGCTCGAAGATTAGAGAACCTGAAATTTTATTCAAGTAGAGGAGACCTTGCTCGACAGTTTCCTTTTCCTCTCCTGGCGTTCTATACATACGTTTCAGGATTCCGCGGAGGTTTGTATGTAAATCGCGCACTGGTCCTGGTACACTTGGAAATGGATCAATGCCAAAAACATCATATGTTTGCAATATGTGTCCCAAATGAGAGGAGTCTTCGACGAGCTCTTTTGGTGCTCGTATGTGACGGGCAAGCGCTAAAATGTCATGTCGGGCTGAGGAAAAACATGACCGTCTGCCTGCAGGGTCTAGTTTGTTCTCTTCTTGTAATGCCATTGCTGCAAGCTGGTCGATATAGATCGAATTGCGGTTCTCATACGCGAAGTTGCAAAGCTCGATGTTGTGACTGTGATTAACGGCTATGTGCAGCCATTTGACCAGTTCCTGGGCTAGAGGATCCTCAGCTGCAGGCCTATGAGAATATCTATGGAATCTTTATACTCACCAGGTTTTGGTGATTTTTCTGTGAGTCTTGAAATGCAGTTCATTGCCTCTCTTTGGAAATTCTTGCGCTCCAGGTCGATACGAAAAATTGCAAAGTCTGCGCAAAGCTGAATGAATGCAGACTCCGTGGCTGCCAGATCCAAGTCAGGCTGGCTGTTCGTGCCCATCAAGACGTCGAGAGCTTCGTTGAGAAAAGAAACTATCTTTTCGACCATCGCGTTTGAAGCAACCCAAAACAGGTAGCGTGTTTGGCGACTTTCCAAGCCTATTGCGGTGCAAGTCTCCCCTCCTTTCTTGAAATCACACACATAAGCAAGGTTCTGTAAGAATCTTCTCCTGATTTCCATAGGAGCATCGAAGCTCGTGGGCTGGGGTGTATGCTCGCCTCGCGTTTGTCCAAGTGCCCTCAAGAGAAATAATGGCTCGTAGAATCGGGCCAGACGTCTTCGGTATGGATCAAGTCTTGGGGGGGCAACACGAATGGGATCAATTTCTAAGCGGCGTTTCTCCTTCATATCGGTGATTTTTCGGTCTGGGGTGTTGCTTCGATCCATGATTAGAGAGAGCCAAGAAGACTTGTTGATGATCCCAAGACACACACCTGGTGCTGATGTCACGTTTGGAGATTTTTAGGAAAGTGAATCACTGCAGAGAAACTGCGGAAGGTTGTAGCAGGAGGAGACCACCAATGCGGGAGGCTGCCAATGCGGGAGGCTGCCAATGCGGGAGGCTGCCAATGCGGGAGGCTGCCAATGCGAGAGGCTGCCATTGCGAGAGGCTGCCAACGCGGGAGGCTGCCAACACGGGTATGAGATAATTAATCACTCGTGGACTTACTAGGGTAGCCCTTGACCGTTTAGTTCGGGCTGTTAATATTAGCCCAATTTGTTAACGAAAGTCTTTCAGGCCTGCAACATCAGGCGCGCCTTGCATTCACATACTTCATTCACTTCATTGGTCACTTTTTGTCAACCATCTCAGGATATCACGATCATGAACGAGTACACCCTGCATTTGGTCAAATATTCGACACCCACTTACTCTTGCATATAAAGAAAAAAAGGGAGTAAATCTACAAGCCCGGAGTATTAAAAGAGCTGGAAATCAGGGAAATTGGAATCTCTCTACAAATTGCAGTTCGAAAATGTCTGCATCAATGTGCAAAGAGCACCAAGCAGGTACGTCAATACAGGCTTACATTGCCTCACACTGTCATCAATCTTCTCTCTGTCTCTCTATACATCTCTCTTTATCCTTGTTGGAGCTGATATTCATGCTCATAGATCCAAGACTGGCATATCATCTGAGCTTGTTGAAACTTGACAGCTCCGATGAGCAGAAAGAAAAAGCCTCTCTTGCCCCCATTTTCACAGGGTCTGTCCTGAGACAGCCCGAACTAGCTCCACCGCAGTATGGTCTGCTTGGAGGGGTCAAAAGTATCGAGGCGTCCAGTTCTCCAAGTGCGGAGAACGAAATCCTTAAAAAGGACCCGAGGCTATTTTTCAACGTTTCCTCGCCATCCAGCACTTTCATTTGCGGCTCTCAGGGCTCTGGAAAAAGTCATACTCTATCTTGCATACTAGAAGGGTGCTTAATCATTTCAAAAGCGGGCAAACTTCAAAAACCCCTGACAGCGGTGGTTTTTCATTATGATACTTTCATCTGCGACAATGGTGGTTCTCCCTGCGAGGCTGCATTCCTCGCATCCCACTCGAACATCAAAGTGAGGGTGCTTTGTGCTCCGACCAACCTTATCACCATACAGGTAGCGTGGAAACCCCCAAACCCCCAAACCCCCAAACCCCCCC